CTAGCGGACAGGACTAGTGCTGGGGGCTGGTCTGCACATCAGAAGGCTGAAGTAGGACACGCAGCTCCAGCCACGTAACTCACGTTCCTGGAGGAGGCCGGCAGGAGCGAACGCTCCCATCCGCCTCCCTTACGGTGCCGCAGGGGCGCCCTTTGAGTTTGACCCAGCAGGTCTGTACAGCACCCGCTAATCGAACCCCAGCAGATCGACTGCAGCAGCGTCGGTCGATCTGCCGCGTAGTGTAGACGTGCCCAGGGGGGTGAGACGCTCGGAGCAGAGGCCGAGGGGTGCTGACCTTCTGTTGTGAGGCAGCCAAGGCCTTCCCTTAGGGAAGCCATAAAGCCGAGCGCGTTAGCCGCCCCCTCCCAGAACACAATTGCAGGTGCCGGTGTGTTTCTCTGGCCACCGAGCCGAGTAGCTGGGCCAGCAGACAGGCCTGGAGCCTGTGTCTGCCTGCCTGCTAGGGATGCGTTTTCCTCCCAGGGGTGCTGGAATACATTCAAGAGATGAGAAACGTCTTGCATGATTTAGAGGCAAGAATCCAGAAAACCAAGTTAAATGTGGAAAATATCAACCAGCTTATGCAGGTGGGTGAAAGTTTTCCAGGCACTTTTGCAAACAACACTCTTGGTACATATTGAATCGCTCCCTGTGCGGGCAGCGCCAGGGCACCTTTCAGCTCGTGAGTTCTTGCAGGAATGGTCAGCCAGCCCCCTGTTCGAAAGGAAGGACAATAAGGAAACGGCTCTCTTGGACTTGGACGGGAAGGCGCAAACCATAAACAAACGCTATGCGGCGATTAAAGATTCTGGGCAAAAGATTCAGACGATGCTTATGGTAAGAAACTCAGCAGAGGAGCGATTTCCACCTGGCACTCCTGTGCCGGCCGCTTCCAGCCTCCCAGCACCGCCCCACGCGGCTGGCTCCTGGGGGGCTCTTACTAGCTGAAGCGCGGCGCTGGCGGCTGTACTCGCGTCGGTGGGCAGCACAGCTCCGGAAGGGCGCTGTGCGTGAGCCAAGCCGAGCGCTTTGATTGTTTCTACTGTACAACTGAGATCAGGCCTCTGACAGCTGGCGGGGCGGGGGAGGGGACTGGCACGCTCCGGGACGGTTTCTTCTTAGAGAACTTTACTTAAAAGCTTCCCCCCTTCCGTTCAAGTGGGGCTGTGGAGAAGACTGCCCGGGAAGCAGCTACCTTGACCTTTGACCCCCGAAAAGCAGGCTTTTGACTTAATCAAATTCAAACTCCCGGTTCCCATTGCAAGGAGCTGGGGCCCTGGCCTGGCCGTTTCCCAGGCAGAGTTCCCATCGCTGGCTCCCTTACGGCAGGAGAACGCCGACTTGTTCAAGGCTGATAAGGCCTCCAGGATCTGGCGCGACTATGTGGAGTACGTGGACGACATGGTCCTGGATGGATTCTTCAGGTTCATTCGCAATTCTCTCCAGTTTCTGCTCACCAACATGGCAGCCGAGGTACGTTGTCAACGACCTCTTCCCTCTCGTGAATGTCGGTGTTTGCACACGTGTGGTGCACGGGCACTACTGCTGTGTTCCCCTGACTTCTGAAAACAGCTCTGGACTTGATTGTCTTAGTACACTGGAGGAAGGCCGGTCTGCCGGACAGCTGGCACTAGTGCGTGGCACGGTGTTTGCACTCAGTTACAAACAGCCCTGCTCTGTGCGGGACTGGCCCTGCCTCTGGGCAGGTTAGATAACTACCCCCAGTGCTGCTGCGGGATTCGCCACTAACAGGGGGGTTGGGAGCAGAGGTGGGCATTGGAGCTGAGGTGCCTCACTGGCCAAGGGAGACACGAGACTGAAGAGTGCACTGAGTGAGGATGGTGAATCGTGGCTTGTGGCCACGCACCGGGCGAGGGGGGTGAATCGTGGCTTGTGGCCATGCACCGGGCGAGGGGGGTGAATCGTGGCTTGTGGCCACGCATGGGGCAAGGGTGGTGAATCGTGGCTTGTGACCACGTACCAGGTGAGGGTGGTGAATCGTGGCTTGTGGCCACGCACGGGGCGAAGGTGGTGAATCGTGGCTTGTGGCCACGCATGGGGCAAGGGTGGTGAATCGTGGCTTGTGACCACGTACCAGGTGAGGGTGGTGAGGCGAGGCCAGAGCCCTAGAAAGGACGCCCTCAGAGAACGAGAGGGAGGAGTCCCCATTCCCATCTCAGCCCTGGGCCCTCTCACCAGGCTGTTTCTGCTCTGCGATGCCAGGACTCCACTTCCCCGCAGTTTCCGCATCGTGCTCCCTGGCAGCAGCCCCCTCTAAAGGGGCATGTGGCCAGCAGGGCAGAGCACGGTGCCCACGGGGAGCAGGGGGGCATGTCCAAGTGTGACGAAGAGGCAGCGGGCAGAGCCGGGGAAGGGGCGGAGGGAGGGGGAGCAGCAAGGCAGCGAGGGGGGGTAGCCCACCCCAGCTGTGGCTCCGGGGGAGTGGGGAGGAGATGGACAGGGATCCATGTGGTACCCTGTGGTCTCAGGCCAATGTGGCGCCGCTGTTCGAAGTGCACATGGAACTGCACCATGACCAGCTGAGATACCGCCCCTCGCTGGAGCTGGGCGCTGACAACGGCTTTCTGGACGTGGTGGAGAACCTCATGAATGACATCTACAGCACGGCCAAGCTCGTGCCCCGGCTGGCCAAGGGCAAGCTCAGCTACAAGGTGATTTCTTTGGCTTGTGGGCCGCACACAGAGCTTCCTGCCAAGCCCCACGTGGCGCGACCGCCCGGTGCTCTCCAGTGCCTCTCCGGGCACCTGCCCACCAGCTGTCAGACGCAAGGAGACAGACCCTTGTCCCGGGGCGCAGGGAGAGAGCTGGGCTCTCGGTTCCAGCTGCAGCAGGCGGGGGCTTTGTGCCAACGTTCATCTCTGGAATTGCAGCCTGGAGTGAAGGGGGCCGGTGCTCCAGGCGGAGCCCGGGGTGGCGCGCTCCCTAGGCCGGCACGGGGCTCGGGCTGTCGCTCAGCTGTCAGACGCAAGGAGACAGACCCTTGTCCCGGGGCGCAGGGAGAGAGCTGGGCTCTCGGTTCCAGCTGCAGCAGGCGGGGGCTTTGTGCCAACGTTCATCTCTGGAATTGCAGCCTGGAGTGAAGGGGGCCGGTGCTCCAGGCGGAGCCCGGGGTGGCGCGCTCCCTAGGCCGGCACGGGGCTCGGGCTGTCGCTTTGGCGGGGCTAGCAAGGTGGCTCGGTGCAGAGCTCGGTGCCACAGGGGCCAAGGCAGGTCTCCAGCTGCACATGGGGAGCCATGCCCGTCTGCCTGGGGAGCCCTGTGCAGCTCCCGGCGCAGCCTGGCCCGGGGGGAGCGGGGGAGGACAGAGCCCGGGCAGCTCCCGGCCCAGCCTGGCCCGAGAGGAGCGGGGGAGGACAGAGCCCGGCAGGGAGCAGTCTGGCCCGCTCTGAATAAAGCAAAGGGGCGGCCGAGAGCGCTCTGGGACACAGCACGTCGCGCCGCGCCGGGGAGGGGGGTCGGAGAGCCTGG